CTTGGTTTAAGATTCTCCACAACTTTATTCTTTATCGGTCAGGTGTATCTAGTGTGTTTCTTGACTTTCATGATGCCATTTGTTCATTAATATTCTCCAACAAACTTATGAGGCTTTCACACATAGATGGTCTCTATATGATAATCAGGTGGCCTTTAAAGGGAGCTCAGATTTATTTAGAATCAGTAGAATAACTTGGGCTGAATACAAATGCCTGCCAAATGTGTCATACTTATATTTGTAAAGATATTAAAACCATATATCTATCTGTGTATCTTTTCCTTCTATTTCACAGTTATGCAAAACCTGGTGTTGGTCTATCCATTAAAATTCTTATATAATACATCCCTGCTTGTTTTATTTTTTTGCGAGTTATTATGAAATGCATTTTTTGTTCATTTGGATTTTGAGGATCTGAATTGCTCCTCTTGCGTGTTTGTCCCATTCGCGTTTTTCCAAATGCTATTTAAATGCCTTTATTGCATCTCTTCATTTTATGTCACATTAAGTGAAAGCAGACTGCTTTGGGTATGTTTCACTTTATTTACATTTGTTCCTTATGTAGTATTCTGATCGCATCTGTTGATCATTGCAATCATGTGGGAGTTCATTTGTATTTGATGAAAATGTCATAAGTATCAATTAAAGGATGACTAATTCTAAAATTTAAAGCAATAACTTTAAATACACTTCCCTCCAATTCATGCAGGCACAGATGCACTCTGAGGAAAGTCAGGAATCCATTGGTGTAGTAGAAAAAGTGAGGGATGTCATATCAGTGGGTGGGATGCTAATATGAATGGATGCCTCTCATATATTTCATGCAGCTACCAGTCAGCTGAAGTGATGACTTTGTGCATTCACATTGAACGGAGGACTTCTTGTGATCAACTTTGTTAGGGTGTGATGAATGTGAGCCGCAACGACTTCATTTTGGGGAGACTAGATGCGCCTAGACGTGATGAGTTGGTTTCTGAATTTAGTTGAGAGCAGCTCTCAGACTGATGGAGTGGCTGCAGGTTCTCATGTAGGTAAAGGATTGGTTTCAGCTCTCTGTATTTCAGACAGTTTCTTAATGTTGGTGAACATTCCTCCTCAGATGTCTTGGAGATTTTATGACCTTGATATCAAAGTAAATCTGAGTGAAATCAAGAAAACCTATCATGACGGAATTGAATTTAGCCGCTGTACCTGCCTGTAAATATAATTCACACTAAACAAAATTTTAGGAAAGGAAAGGTTTTTCTTTTAGGTTTATGACTAGACTGACTTTGCACATGGGAAATAGTGGAAGAATCTCCTCAATATAAACATTTAAATATATAATAGCCATTGGTACTAAAATTGTAGAAATGTACAACTATTCAATGCTAGTCTCTCTAAGGTGCTAGGGTTATCTTTGCTCTTCAACTCATGTTGTCTCATGTAACAAACTTTCATCAGAATTTATTTTTCTCCAGTTTATGTTGTTTCACTTATCTTCTGCTTTCATAGACCTGCAGGTTTTAGCTTGGATTAGTTAGAAAACCATCACCTGGATGCTGCTTGTATGGATGTGTGACACCTGACTTCTCTCACATTTTTCTTCCTCAGACAGGAAAGTCCAAACATCCTCCACAATAAGAGTTTTCTGTGCTGGTAAAGCAGAATAACTATCTACTGCTGGTCTGCCTGAAAGATCAGGCTGAGACGAGGCGACCTTCATTTCCAAATCAGACTGTGGCACAGGAAGTGAGGTGGAATCAAAATTTGGCAATTATTTCTCTATTTTTAATTTGTTAATTTAAAAAGTACAGCACATGATTCCTTAATTAAGACTTCATATTTGTCTGTAAGTAGTTCACTTTATTTTTGGACAATAACATGTTTATTCACATATGCTGTGACCCCTGCATTTAATCAGAGCTTTTCCCACAGTTTAGTTTCAGTCATCTAATGTATTATTTTATGAATGTTAGTATCATTTTGTTACCCCTTTGCATTGCCCCCAAGCTGTTGAATGATAGAACAGACGATGTGACTAACATTTTTACCTAGAGTTGCTCAGAATGGCATTTGTTTAGATAATATAAATTCATGTGTTGGCTCCATGGTATCCTATCCTGTTTCTGCAGAGATAATATTTTTTTCTGGATTGCTTGTCACATGGCCTCTTGGGAGTAAACAGTCTTCTGCCGTTTGCATCTAAACAACTCCATTAGGACAATTACTATTTAGTTTCAGTATTTCTCAAAGGCACCTCAACTGTGGCAGGAAGAATTACACATTCACTCCTACCCCTTCATTTGCTTTTATAGCTGGCAGCAAAGCAAGGCTATAATCTTTGTCTGACTAGGACGTTTCTCAGGTGCATCCCATGCATTTTCTGCACCATAAATTGTAAGGTCATGTCTGATAGAATAGGGGGTCTGATCCGTTATTATCAAGTGATATTTCTACTCAGTGGGCTGACTTTCAGCGCTGCTTCACTTGCTCCTGGATCATCAGATAAAGCAGCAGTCTGACAGGGAAGTTATTGGTTGGCAGAGCCTTCAGAGGCTCCCCTCAGTTCGTGATGGCAGCAGCAATGGTGTGCATGTTTGTAAAAATCCATCAAACAGTGCAACGCCACACTTAAAGATGCTAAAACACAAATTCACATGAAACAGACACAACATGCACAGTTTTTGACACACAGCACAACCTTTAAATCGATGTAGTACACCATTGGGAAGGTTCTTCATGCGCTCCACTTTGTATTTTTATCCAAAACTGGTCACCTACTTCTCCAGTCTGAGACATATAAGCTGCTCTGTTTCAACCATCCTCACAACATCTGTTGTCAGAATGTTTATCTGACAACAGATGTAACTGGATTTGCTCAGGTAAATCTAAAAGGGGAACTAAGGATTATTTCCCTGTAAGCATAAAATATGTAGATAGTTATTGTTTAAAGAGATTTCAGACGAGTTAAACATTGATAAAGTAGATGTTTGAATCTTTTTGTTAAGACGAATTCAAAGAGCAAGTTTGTTCCTGATTGACTTTAACTTCAGTAAGTATAAAGTAGTTAAATTATTAATTAATTTGTTTGATTTTGTTTTAAAATGCATTCACAACTTAATGATTTTGATATTTAATTTCGAAATATGTAGATAGTAAACTGACACATTGGATGAATTGTGAATTATTGTGAAAAATTGTCTAGTTTGCAGCAGTGAAGGGAAACATGGGCAACTTTTGGTAGATGGTAAGAAGACTGGCATAACCTTTCTGAACTTTTTCTCCAATCGTTTTTGAAAGCATCAGGTTTATATATAAGGAAAGGAAGCTCTTTAATGTTTAAACCGACTGCTTTATCTAACACACCATCCGCTGCCCATGAAGGCATCTTTGAAATCTAAAGTTTATTTTGTGACTCTTAAGATGATGCACCACATGATTCAAAATCTGGCGGGACATCATGGAAAGACAAGATGAAAGAGAAATCATTTAATCTTACTGCAACAAGTCTTCAATTTATGGCTGTGGAAGAAAAATACAAAGAAAAGGGTTTGGTGGTGAACCTTTCAGAGAGACGCTGCTTTGAGGTCTGCCTGAAAACGATTTTTCACAGTAATTTCCAGGGTTGAGGTCTTTGAGGTTTTGATTGTTTGGGCTGAAACGTACTTGGTGCCTTTTTGTATATTACAATTCTGGTGCTGATGGCTTCAGGAAATGTCTGATCCCAAATTGAATTCACTATTGAATTCCATTTCTATGTGTCTGAGTGTGCTCTGGGGACTTCTAGCTTCATAGCATCCAGTGAAAAATAAAATATTCACTGAGGTGCCATCCTTATTTCACAAATGTTCATCGTGGAGCTCAGGGAATGAGGTACATGGTGGTAGTTAGTTATCACACTGTAAGAAAAGGAGTTGAGAGATTAGTTTTTCTAAATACCAGAAATTTATCTTTGATGATGAACAGTGGCAGTTTCAGCATCTGCTTAGTGTTTTGTCTTTGCGCCATGACAGCTTAATGCAATACTTATGCCTTTGCTGAGAGTGTGTTTTATTCACATCATCAGAAATACTGCCTTGTTTAAAATAAATCAACTTAAAACCAACTACTTTACTTTAAACCCTCAAACTTACAAACTGTCCAATAAAAAACTGTGAAACTGTATTAAAATGTTTTAGACATACACTGGAAATAAACTCCAGGTGTATACACCTTAAACTTTTGGTCATTTTGTCTCATTTCAGCCACAAACCTAATGCATTTAAACTTAATTTTATGAGTCATCCCACTTTATTCTGTTGCACCTAATTTACAAAATGTCCAGTTCATAAATAATATTACTAAATCATAAAATTCATGCACAAATGAAACTTCAACTTTAACTTGCTGGTTGGTCTGGTGAACACAGTACAGCTGCTTGCTTGTGTTCCACCACTTCCCCAGCTGTTCTGCAAATCTTTTTTGTTGGTACATTTCACAGAAGAGACTTTTGAAGCCGACCATCACCAATAAAAACGGCTTCTTGACAGATGAGATAAGAATAGGCAACATCTGCTACAGACATCAAAGTGTTGCAAAATCAAAGTGGGTGCAGGTTCGTAGCTGTCCAATTCCTAGGCTTAGAATGATGTTTATGTGTTAAAAAAAAATCTGCTGCAGGAGTTTAACAGCTGGGTTTCCAGCTGGGAGTTGATAAATCATGTGTGTCTGTTTTTTTAGACGATGACTTTAAACCATTTAAACAAACAGCAGAGATAATGAGTGGTTCTCTCACAAACTGCACTAATTGTAGGCTAAATAATTATTATTTTTTTTAAAGAAACCAAAATATCAGTGTTAAGATTTGCATAAGTGTTGGTGTTTTTCAGTTCCACAAAACATTTCAGCAACCAGTCTAAAAGCACCGTTTATGTCATTCCAGGATGCTCATCATTTATTAGTTCAGGAAAGACTGCACTGTTTCCATTAATAAATTAAAGTATTTTGACCTGCAGTTTTGTTTGATCAAATCTCTGCAGGGAAAGTTGCTCTGTAAGGGAAGTTAGAAGAAAAGGAAGATATTGAACAAGGAGAGGATATTGAATTGAAGCTTCCAATAGAAGAAGTCCAACTTTATCCAGGAAGGCTAAAGCAGTAAGTCTAAATAGATACATTTATTTTTCTTTAAAACAGAATAAGTAGACAATCATTGTAGAAGATTTTCACAAATGTAAAAACTGTTCTTAACTGTATTAAAAACTAAATTAAACAATGTATACCACCATCTGCTGTAAGCAATAATAAAAATAAAAAACAATCAAATAATAAAACCATGTAGCATAAAAGATTTTGTTTCACTTTGGGACATCTATGCAAATGGGTTTGTATACATAGATCCAAAGACTACTGCCATTCAAATGCAAATTAACTTACACATTAGTCAACAAATCACAACTGCAGAAAAATGCAGCTCCACATTTTTTATATTTATTATTAATAAAACCTTGACAATTCATGATTACTTTACAGTTGGTTCATCACCAAAAAATCCATGATGCCAACAAACACCTGCAGGGAAGTTTTTCCAATGCAGGTTTTTCAACAATGTATACCAGAATTATAAAGAATGACCAAAGTTTTCAGTGAAACTATAAAGCCATCTTTGTCGAGGTGAATCAAGATGTTTTAGCAACATCCAGAGAAGGACGACTTAAGCTGAGGGCATCTCTCAAATTGCTGCCTGTCTAAGTGTCACTGTGATTCTGGAGAAAGAGTGACAGCAGCCTCTCAAACTCTGACAAACACACACTCTGTCAGTTGGATTTTGAGTTTGTTTTATGTTGTTTTGTCCACTTTTCTCTTCCTTTCCTTTCATTTATTTTCCTTTTCTTAACCTAACATAAATCAGTTATTTTAACTGTCTTTAAGAAAAAAACTAAAAGACTACCACTACCCAAGGAACTTTTTCAGGCACAAATCTTCCTCTCTAAAGTACTAAATATTTGTTTCCTAAAAATCTGCAGCAGGATCAGTGAATGAGCTGATTTCAAAGCTGAGCTCCTCTGGGAACAGATGCCCCACTAATAGAAAGAGGACAGAGATGGGAAAAAAACAACACCTGAGTGCAGTCAGTATTTGAACAACTACACATTCTTTTTATGTCATATCCCTGTAAAATTACATATATATTTTTCCATCCTTCCCATGAAAAAGAATAATCAAGCCCTAATAAATAAAAAAGGCCTACCCTGTCATAGTTAATTTTTTTTATGCTACTTGTGGTAAAATGATAGTCGACCCCATTATGACTTTAGGATTTAATTTCTTTTGTACTTGTGCCATGAAGAGTCTGCCACAAACTTGAAGAAACAAATAGTTATATAATGGGATCCGCTTTGTGTGTTTTTCTCACATAAAGGCAGAATAAATTAATTCTACAGTTCAGTAATATATTTGTAGAGTAAAGACAAGACGGCACAAAATGGCATTAATAAAAACAATAACTTCTGGTATAGATCTTAGATTGATATGGACACTTTTTGTTTACCCTCAATGTTGACAGATGTGCAAATTCCTTCGATTAAGCAATCTGTTTTGGAAATATCTGGTGGCTGAGAGCCAAAGGTCACATAAGATTACAACCATCAGTCATAATTTATGGGAAATTCCTTGTAACAATGTCCTGAAATCATCTATAAGACGCTTAATCAATAGGTGTCTCCTTATTTAGAGACCAACCATCCATCCATCATTGACTATTCCAGCTTATCCTTGCAGAGGGGCTGGTGTCTCTCTTCAGCGGCCATGGGGACAGAGGCAGGTTACACAGTGGGCAGGTCGCCAGTACATCCAAGGGCAACAGAGGCACACAGGACAAACAATCTTGCGCACACACACACACACACACACACCTAGGAGCTTACGTAGATACCTAATACACAAAAGTACTGCGTAAGAGAAGAGAGGATCCATCCATCTATTATCTATACCTGCTTATCTGTGCAGGGTCATGGGGGCGGGGCGGATGGAGTTTTGCCACATTGATCAAACGAACGTTTTGATACAGAGAGCAGATCTTCATTTTCCAGACCGTCTTGCATTTTGGACGATAAAGAGATTTCACTTCAAATATAGTTTCTGTACAGTGACATAAACCAGTGTTTCCCAACCCTGGTCCTCAAGGCTCACTGACCTGCATGTTTTAGATGTTGCCCTGCTTCAGCACACATGATTTCAATTAATGGTTGATTAACAGGGTTTTGCTGAATTGCAATCATCTGAATGGGGTGTGTTGAAACAGGGGATCACCTATAACATGCAGGTCAGTGTGCCTTGAGGACCAGGGTTTTGAAACACTGACATAAACAAAGATGTATTAAAACAGCCACTGTGCTTAGAATAAATGTGCTAACATGCAAGTCTGCCCATCAGAGAAGCCTGGATCTTGTGCTCCACAACAGCAAACTCATACTGTACGAAGCTTTGCAGGAAAAAGTTTGCGATTTTTTTGTTGCCCCAACAGCAAACTGAACAATCTGCTATTTTAGTTGATTAAGAATTTTTATTGAAGGCTTCATTATTACTTTATACTTCAGCTCCACACAGCTATGAGATGTTCAGAGCACAATGTTAATAACAAAAAAAAGGGTGTTTGAGTAAGACCTTTTCCCAAGAATAAAGTCAATAGTGCATTCATTTACCTTCAAAAGATTTTAAATTAACATTTTAATCAGCAGTGTCATCAGTTTGTTTTCTACCAACCTGTGAACAGACTGGCAACTATTCTGTCTTTGTTTGTTTAAAATAATATGGTGTAACATGCTTTATGTTTTGTTTTTTTTTACCTAAAGTTTATCTTTACTAAAATTTAAGTCCTGCTAAGAACTAAGTGATTTATTATCTCTGATTGGTAAAACAGAATAATCGAAAGAGGATGTACTCCTTTGTCCTGTGACTATATCTTTCACCTTGACATAATGCTTTTCTGCTCACAGACAAACTGTTTTGGTGCAGCTTTCTGCATCAATAAGTGATCTTAGCTGTCCCATACATTTCTAAAACCTGAGCATGTGGCAAGGTGGCACTGCAAGAGAGATGTTTTAGTTTATTAACAATAGTTGATCCATCAATTTAGGCATTTTTTAATCAAGATGAAATCTTGATATGAAGCTTAAATACAGGCAGATTGATTTCAGACACCAACAACAGCCTCCATATTGTAAACACTTTTTAAAAAACAGTTGGAATTTGTATTATAGAAAGTGATAACTAAAAGAACTTTCTATAGTGCTTGAAACAAATAACTTGTTCCAAGTTGATATTTTAAAACAAGATTTCTTGACGTACTATTCCCTGTATAAACCAAGTGACTTTTTCTATCTTAAGAACTGCAGTTGCTGGTGGGACATTCCAATACTTTATTTTTGCTGACCATTGTGTTATAAACTGATGCCTAAGGCCGTCAATCTTTTGCTTAACTTCTCTCATCTGTTTTACATATTTTCTAACTTCGGACCTTGAAATAAATATAACCTTTGAGAGCCACTTGCCTCAACATAACTGCAAAGGAAAAGACGGATAAATCATGATATGTGCACTTTAAGAGAAATTGGTTATGTAAACAGTGAAAATATTTGGCCTGTTAACTTTATCAAGCCCCACAGCTTCGGAAAACACAGGTATTTAAATAAATAGTAAATCTTATACAACAAAGCATCTAAAAAGAGACATTTTAAAAAAAACTTGCTTACTGTAAAAAGAATACAGACATCTGAAAGAGACTTACTTATGTCTTTGAAAACACTAGAATATTCCCTTAACTTTGTAGGTATTATGGTTCTCTAAATTCAGGCAATTTTACAGCTGCATATTGTTAATTAATTAGACAGAGCAGAAGACAAACACATAGTGACAAAGAGTCTGTGAATCTTGTTTTTTAAAGGAAAATTTTACTAATAGATTTGGTGCCTGAGGATAAATTCTCTCTCCAGAAGTGAGGTTGGCACCCTTCTATAATCAGTAACCAGCATTTGTCCAGTAAATTTATCTTAATTTTCCTCCTCATGCATGCTCTTTAAAGAAACACGATTTATATTCATGTCACCACCTGGGGGAGGTTTTCCACACAACAAATCACTCCTGAGCAGCTTCAGCCAGAACAATCACAAGCTCTGTGTTGCACTCAAGAGCACAGCACTTATAGCCATCCATCTAACCTTTGGGATAAACCTACAGGTCAAGGAAATTGTTTTATAAATGCCACTTGGATGAGTGTCAGTGTGGTCATGGAGAAGGTTAAACAAAATTACAATATGTTAAGAAGCTAAGGACGAATTTCACGGAATAGATGTTTTAATCAACGAGTTTGCATCCTGCAGACTATGAGCAGGAACTTATATATTTTACAAGGAAGACACAAAAATAGTTTTAGTTCAACTTTACAACATCACAAACTCTGAGTTATGAATCTTCAGAGATACAGATATAAAAGACAGTCTGATGCTTTGAACTTTAATTTGATACTAAAATTTTAAAATGTTTGCTCTGGACTTACAGTCTGATTTTTATATTAGACTGTGAATGAATGAAGTTGTACAACATTTCTTTGCTGTCTTTTCTGAGAATTTCTTGTGTCAACAGACAGAGAATGATGCTTTGAGAAGCTTCACCTACAAAATGTGCTTCAATAAGTGGCGAGAGACGTACTTGTGAAAATATCATTTCCACATCTTTCCAGTGTACTACACAACAGTTCATCACAAAAGGGTTCCTTCTCGTTCCTTGACAAAAACTTGAACTGACAGCTTGTATACAGTGGTGTTTGCTATATTAATTACCCCATGTTTTCCAGGTTAATTAACAGTACAGTCACTTCTTTTTCACATCAACAAAAGGAGTCAGTTGAGGTGTTTTGGGCATTTGGTCAGGTTGCCAACTATTCGCCTCTGTTTGGAGGACAAGCATGTCCTGCCAATAGGACAAGGAGACCCAACGGAAGATCCAGAAATCGCTGGAGGAAATATATATCTCATCTGACCTTGGAATGCCTTGAGGTTCCCAAAATTGAGCTGGAGGATTGTCTGGGATTCCCTTCTGGACCTGTTTCCCCTTTGAC